AGCAGATTTGAACAGCAGATCGTTTGTGCCTTACGTTGTCGGTCTGACAGCATTCTTTGTTCTTTGATTATAGTTGTATGGGTGGAATTCTTCCTGCAGGGTTCTTTCCTTTGGTAGTGATCTTCCGGCGTCGTCTGGAATGACAGCATCCTTAGGCGTGTGTGCGCAGAGTCGTTAAAGGCGACAAGCGATTCATTTATTTTATTAGCATCGCACCTGTACAACCGGTGCCATAAGACACAGCTTCTAATTCATGAAATCTCCGGTCCGTTGAATTTACCCACTGAGGCAATCTGTTTATTTGATAGACAACATGGTGTTTAACTTCATGTATTTTATTTCTCTGTTGAATGTTTTGCTCTGTTGTGGTCTTCGAAAGAGATGCCTTTGAAAGAAACCGGTGCGGCTTTCCTTTATGTTAATAGATGAATCAATTAAATGGCTCAAGTACGTGTATACTTATATTTAAAGAGAAGGGGGTGGGTGGGGTGGCTAGTCGGTCATTCTATTAGTTAATTGATAGACCAAGAAAACCAATAAAATCAATGTATCAATAATTCAATAAATCAATTTTACTATTATCGTTATGATCAATAAATGAAGCAGGTAAATTAGTGCGTGGCCTGTACTTCAATGATTTTAGAGATATAGAAGAACTTATATCATGAAACAAGTACAGGTTAGAAAGAAAACATAAGTGTTCTTTAATCTCGATCAGGTACCAGTGTAGAGATGCAGCATTATTACCACCAAGTCTGTCTGTCTGTCTGTCTGTCTGTCTGTCTGTCTGTCTGTCTGTCTGTCTGTCTCTCACTCTCTCTCTCTCTCTCACACACACACACACACACACACACAAGCACGCACACGCACACATGCACACACATACACACACACACACAAACCAAAAAAAGCACAGGAAAACAGGAAAAGAGAGAAAGAGATAGCAGGACAGAGAGAAATAGAGACAGTGTGAACGAAAAGGAAAAGGAGAGAAAGGGGAAGGGAGATAAAGGGGCAAGATAGCAGGTGTTAATAAGCGAAAGACAAAAGATGTAACTGAGAAAGAAGTATAATAATTTGCTTGTTACCCAGAATGCATACGTTTCTTGCATTTGATAGCATGAATTTGGAAGCAGAAATATATATATCCCCTTTGGGACGGGCCTAAAGACGTTTTCAGTTAATAGCACTGCTCTGTTTTTTTTTTGGGGGGGGGGTAACTAACAGCACTGAATAATGTGTTAAAGTTGATGTGATCTATGATGCAGTTTACTTCAGCTATCTGATGTGTTATATGAGATAGAACGTGGATATTTCGCTACCATAGAATTACAAAGTTCTTTCTACTAAGTACCAAATTTTTAGAAATTTAAACTTAAAATGTTTAAGTTGCTCAAAATGTCAAGATTTTTCATATGCAATTCTTTGAATATCTTGATAACGACTCCAAATAATCTTACGATTTTGAGAGAGCAGATAGAACATTTACTTTATGACCTCACCGTCTTATAATAACTCAAACCTGCCTAAAAATATTATCAAATAACTTTGAAAATCTGAGGTAGCGATTCGTCGTCGGAATCCATATTTTAGTAAAGCGTCTATCAATGTTCCTGATTTGTCCTTTTGCAATGAGCATTTGTAACTGGGTGTAAGAAAAAGTAAGTACTATTCTGGTATCACTGACACTGTTAGGTTTTTATCGTTTTCCCTTGAGAGACATTCTGAACTCAAGTGAAGTATATTTTCTACAAATTATTCCGTTTCATTTAGAGAACTTGTATGTTTTTAGATTAATTTTTCTTCATAGTAAATAGAAAAAATGTCCAACCTTTCAAATGACAACAAAGATAAGTAAATTTATAGCTGAAAATATTTTCTCAGCTTAACCAACGGGATGGAAGAAGTTAGCAACCGTTGTGCTAGAGTTCAGACAGTCTCCTTCAGATATTCACATTCAGGCAGATGGGATGGCTCCACCACACCCTTTGAGCTTTGTTAGTGAAAGTATATGGGAAACAACTAAAAAAAAACACCATCGCTTCAAGCTATGGTATAACAGATGGACTGCTGAAGAAATTAAAAACAAAACCGAAGGAAACAAAAGATTTCCATACGAAGGAAGAGCACAACCGGCTACGAATACGAGATCGAAAGAGAAAAGTGTATGGTGCGAGTGGGAATTATGTCCCTTGGCCAGATCGACTCGAACAATTACCGCAAACCGCGGAGAGGAAAAAGAGGACCTATCGACCTAAACAATACGAGCGTACCCGTCTCTGGAGAGCCTGGTTGACTTAAACAATCACCATTTACCCGTCAGTCAAGGATCCCGATTGACGCAAACAAAAAAGAACAAACCGCACGGTGGTGAAAGACCTTCTACCGATACCGACAATACAGAGGAAGCGTCAGTCAGCGGTTTGATCGACTCTGTACTATAAAAGGCAATCCGCATCTATCGACTTAATATTAAGTTGTGTTGACGCTCACCCGATTCTTCTCCGATTTTGCAGAAATGGCAGCTGTCGCGGTGAGAACTCTACTGAACCTTCACCCTGAGAAGTCGGCAAACCTCTTGGCAAAATGCTGCTTTATCGTTGTTGTTTTGGGTTCTTTTTTCCCTCGTTTAATCATAAGTATCTGCTTACTTGTACTACAGCAGTGTCCTCATATTATTATATCAACATTATTGCTGCTTTCGTTCACATTGTATTCTTCTCATTGATGTCATTTTATCCCCGCTCGATGCGATTACTTTGTGAATTCTTAATATTTGAAAACAAATTAATAGACCACAGGCCTATCTCATTCATAGATATAGATATCATTCACTTTGTTCTAAATTGCTGTAAATTTGTGGAAAAATAATAATAATAATAATGATACTTAACAAATGAGGAGGAGGAGGAGTAGCAGCAAAAAAAGAAGAAGAAGAAGAAGAAGAAGAAGAAGAAGAAGAAGAAGAAGAAGAAGAAGAAGAAGAAGAAGAAGAAGAAGAAGAAGAAGAAGAAGAAGAAGAAGAAGAAGAAGAAGAAGAAGAAGAAGAAGAAGAAGAAGAAGAAGAAGAAGAAGAAGAAGAAGAAGAAGAAGAAGAAGAAGAAGAAGAAGAAGAAGAAAAAGAAGAAGAAGAAGAAGAAGAAGAAGAAGAAGAAGAAGAAGAAGAAGAAGAAGAAGAAGAAGAAGAAGAAAACTTTTTGTCAAAGGTTAATGATTTAGTTCGGCGCTTGTCACGAGCGCACAAACCAGTCTGACCCAACTTCTCATGTCTGCAGACTTTTTGGATCAGTGTCTACACTCAATAAGTGAGTTTTTTAAAAGAGCTGAGCACAGTCAGTTGAGCCTTCAGAAGCTAGAAGGTTGAGTGGTAAGGGGTTGATTGGAGTGGGGATTGGGTGTATGGGGGGGGGGGGGGGTAGGGGGGGAGGCATATGAAGAGTGAGTGGGAGGGGGATGGAGGGGTCAGACAATGGAGTTGTGAACGTCACTAAAAACGTGAAGTGTTGCATTTTCTGCGCCTGTGTGGATCAGTCTTTACAAACGGGATTCTGTGGGGATTTTTTACTCATTAGAGATGCTTCCCCCTCCGCTTTCTCTGTCTCGCACCTCCCTTTCTCTGTCTGCCTCTGTATTTCTTTCTCAGTTTCCTTGTCCCCCCCCTCTATGTGTGTGTGTGTGTGTGTGTGTGTGTGTGTGTGTGTGTGTGTGTGTGTGTGTGTGTGTGTTTGTGTGAGTGAGTGTGTGTGTGTGTATTTTTAGAATGTGTATCTTTTTTGGATCCGATGTATATCAACACAAACCTCATACCTAACCATATATATACAATTACAATAGTTTCTATTTCTCTCATTTTCTAAGCTCGTACTACGCACACATGCAAATACACACAACACGCACACAAACACACACTCACACACACAAGCAAACAAGCACGCGCATACGAACATACATATACAAAATATACACACTTACGAACGTACACAACCATACGTAAATACAAACACAGATACAAGAGCACACACACACACACACACACACACACACACACACACACACACACACATGTAAACAAATACACGTACCAACGTACAAACATACATAAATACGCACTTACCCGCGCGCACACACACACATACACACACACACACACACACACACACACACACACACACACACACACACACACACACACACATACACACAAGGACAAACATAACGCTCACTCGTCTGGCCCCGCCGACACGACCGACGCCGTTGTCGCCACGACATAAATGGCGGCCACTTCAGAAAGGAGACAGAGCCGCCGCCTCAGCCTTGTGTCAATCCTTTGGCTTTTCAGCAGCCGAGTTGAAGCTTTATTCAGGAGTCAACTGCTCAAAACACCTCGGCACAATAGCTCCGTTTTCCCCCGCCCAGGAAAAATATGCCCTCAAGAAGCTTGGAAAACTTACCAAAGAAAAGGCAACGAGATACGGGCGAAGTGAAGACCTGAAGAGGTGCGGACTGCGTCAAGAAATGTGTGACACTATGTTGTCCCCATCGCCCGCCACTCGCTTTCCAATTTTCGGTACCGGATATTTGTGTTTTCCCAAGAGGTCTCCAAGGTCACTCTCAGATATTATTTGCTCAGCAAATACAAAACGTAAATGAAGCGTGATCAGTTACACAGTGAGAATGAACAGTTTACAAATTGTAGTCTTGCCATTTATACGGAATGCACACACTGACACACGCGTGCGAACGTATGTGCGTGCGCGCGCACTCTCAAATACACACACACACACACACACACACACACACACACACACACACACACACAAACACACACACACACTTATACGTGTTTGCCTATGTGTGTATGTGTGCGTATGTGTGTGTGTGTGTGTGTGTGTGTGTGTGTGTGTGTGTGTGTGTATGTGTGTGTGTGTGTGTGTACAATGTACAACTTAGATGCTTAGTCAAGACGAATGTGTCGTTTGATGAACCAATCTTTCACATACTATGCCGACTGACACATTCACTGACGCGGAGATAGGCATCAGCGTCATCTGCACAGGCAATTCAACTTCAGCCTTGGGAGACTTCAAACCAATACCACGATTTCGCTTGAAAATGTCAATGACCTCCTGTTCGGGGACAAAAGTACACTCACTGCTGTCTCAGAAGTCAAAATACAGCGCAATTTTTTAAAGTTCTCTGTTGCTGGAAACAACTTTGGTCTAACGATCAGTTCGAAAAAGTCTGATATGTTGCACCGTCCAGCCCTGGGAAAATCATACATTAAACCAGTGAACACCACCCGTGGACAGCAGCTGAATGCAGTGGAAAAGTTCACCTACACAGACAAAAATGTTGGCACTGACGGCATGGGAAATACCCGGCTCACTAAAGTTAGTTCGCCTTCCACATCCTCCACAAGAACGTAAAGAACAGGAGAGGCATAACCCAAGCGACCAAGCTCAAGGTTTATCGGGCTATAGTTTTTGCACTACTGTTTCTATCGCTGTGAAACATGGCGCAGTTATCCGCATTACGTCAGAAAACAGAATCTTTTTTTCACACCACCTATGTCAGAAAACTCGTTGGTGTCCTGTGGTAAGATAATTCTCCAGACACTGAATGCTCACCCATGCTGGCATTCCTAGCATCTGCATCATTTTAGGATAGTCACAACTTTTCTGGACAGGTTAGACCAATGACTGCCAAAGAAACTACTTTTAAGCGAACGATCACAACTCTCCCGTAGGCCAGAAAAAGCGTTGCAATGACTGCCACAAAGCTCTACGGAAGATCTTCTGTACCAACCACACACTGTGGGAGAAGACTGCCCAGGTCAAAGTCAGGTCAATTTTTCCCTAGGGCGCAGAGATCCGTGAAAGCAACCGAATCGCATCAGTTGAGTAGCGCAGATTAACCAGGAAGAGAAATGTCAACAGATCTCCAACTGTTTCTACCATCCCCAGTCTGCATTGTGACAGAACTTGGCAGGCACGGATAACGAGTCGTCTGCTCATTCACCCCGATCCCAGGATAACTAAATGGTCTTCGTTGCCTCGACAGAAGAATAAAAGCAACACCACCACCACCGCCACCACCACCACAACAGCAGCAGCAGGTCGGGACGGGCTACTCTGGATACATTACGCTGAGCAATCGGCTTTCCTACCCGAGTGATATTTCGTGCTTGCCGTGTGAAATTATTACACGGGAAGCTTGCCGAAATTTCCTAACATGCTTAAAATTTTGCAGAGCGAAAAATGATTCGACAAGTTAATAACTTGCTCGGGGAAAACTCGGAGAGGACTCGGGGAGTGTCAGAAATAGCTCGGCGTTCAAAGTTGCATACGTTGCTGAGTGACAGTGACACGCCGACGAGATCTGAATGGTAGCCGTGTTAAATTGCATACTGTGCGTGTTAAATTATTGCTCGCAGTGTAAAAAATCTTGCACGGGGAGTCTGAGTTTCTTAAACACGGCGTGCAAAAGATCACACGACGAGCATATAAGTATTTCCTATTGCCAGGTATCGAACAGTGACAGCCAGCTTGATGTCAGGTTCCAGTGACTGCCCCCAGAAAGTGCTTGCCTTGTGGATGGTGGGGACAATTTTCTCCAGTAGTTCTTGGATAAACTCTGGAGAACCTCTAAGGAGGTTCCTGAAGGATGCCACATCTTCAACTTGCAGTTCAGCCATCAGCATCTCAAACTGTCCTAAGTTCTTATGAGCCATGGTCTAGCCCAACAGGTCCTCCTCCTCCCCTTTTCTTTTTTTTTTTGCACCAGCACAACAGCAAAGGGCACCAATATTTTGTATACATGGAGTATACATCCATCGTCTGTGTAATATTAGACATGTTAAATGAATGAGCATAAAAAACATTATGCCCCATCTTAATTATATTTTAACATTGCACGCGGACTAACTCGGCGACAGGTTCGCAAGATAGTCAGCGTGGACGGCGAGTTTGTCGGCGTATGGAATTTTACTCGGCCGCTGCGTTTCTTGGCTCTGCAAGCTCCAGGATTCAAACTAATTGCTCCACAAGACGCCCGGCGAGACGCTCGGGGGATGTGCTCGCCGTCCTAAATTAATGCTCGACGAGCGTTTCCCCGAGCGCTCACCGACATAATAATGTCAATAGTCATGGCCAGATGCTCGTCACGATTAAACCCGAATTTGGGATAATCTTATCGGGAATTGCTCGTCGACTCTACTCCTGTATGTGTGAACACCGCATAAGTCAAGCAGTTTACTCTTACCGATTTTCTCCCTTTTATTTGAAGTGAGCAAACCATACGTTGGCATTCTTTAGTGAAACAACATACCCTTTATCTTTGCCTATCGATTATATCATCAGCAACCCAACACTGTCATTAATGAGCAACCTTTCATTTATTTTCTGTTATTATCAACTCTCCATTATTAGATATCAAGATGACATTACCCATTGAAAGACTTTTTCTGAATGTTTTCTGGGCCTGGATCGAGATTGTCCTGTGGAATAAGTTTAGCCGTGAATGTTATCAAAATCAAAATACTTGTACACAGGGAGATCACCCCCCCTCCCCCCCCCCCCCTCCCCACCCCCTCTGCTAAAAATAAATTATTTAAAAAACTGGGCAACCTTTTTAGTTAATATTTTCCTCCACACTGAAGTTTTGCTCTTCAAACTTGTACCCACCATTTGGAAGTCAAAAGGATTAATTTGTCTGATACTTTTTTTAAAAGATAAATCCACAGAATGGTTTTGCTCTACATAGCGCGAAAAAAACAACCCATTTTCAGCTATGTGACCATTTTAGTAGCATGACGCACTTGTTCGCATTAGGCCTACCACTAAAAATCCCTACGATTGCCATATTGCAAACTACAGTAGTCTAACCTGCCAATAGAAGTTTGCAGATGGTTTTTCCCAAGTTCCCTTAGCCTGCTGAGATCATGATTAAAATAAATAAAGAGCAGAGAGCTTTTTGTCTCGAACAATTCCTCACCAACAACGTGTTTCGTAAATTTCGCACAAGGTACGGAAATAATGTTAAAGTGCCCTTAAGGCCTTCTTTGATGTCAAGGGTAGAAATGGTCCATCAGTTAAGACCTGTAGAGAATCAGAACAAAAAATCCCCAGACAAAACGACCACTTCAGGTCAAACACACATCATTTAAATGTCACCAGGGTGCAGAATTCAGTAGATGGGCCCCATGAGACGTCTGTTCGTAGACGATGTCTGAAGCAATGGCTTTCCTCAACGGTCCGCATTCTCAAGGACTAATGGAGGACAAAACGACCATTGGTTCTCGGAATGCCAGAATTTTAAAAAATTAACTCTGTAGGAGAAAAGAAATATTATTTAAAGGTTACAGGGGTGGAAAGATTAGATTTTGAAAATAAATGGAAAGGGAAAACAAACCAATAATTTCATGACTTTCTTTACAAGATCTTTTAAATTGGTGTATTTTCCATTTACAGTTGGGTTTTTTTTTTATAAAAGCCATTTCCGTTTTCGAAAATATGTATCTTCTTTGTGAATTTATGTAAAACAAATTCCTTTTAAATGGATTGTATCTGTTCCAAATTACAACATTTTAGTACAAATTTTGTGCGAGATATTTAGAAAAAAAAAGTTGTGCAGTTGTTGTTTTTGTTTTGGATCGCCCGGTGTATATTGTATGACATACAGGGATCTTGGAAAAGCCTCTTTTTCCCTCATTCTGTCGTCTGCAGCCTTTTTTTTAAAACCTTCCTATCTCTGCCACACTTTTCCATATAGATCTAGATCTACACACCGTCTGCCTTTTTGTCATAACACCACGAACTTTTTCATTTTTTGGATTTTTGCTGCTGGATTACATGTAAACATGTTCAGATTGATAATACAATATCGAAAGAGAATAAATGTAACTCTTTTTACTCAGCTATCGGCACAATACAGACTATTTAAGAGGTAGGCTGCTCGACTTGACTTTTCAAGTCTGACAAGGATAGGCGAGGTACAGCAACCTTTTAGATATACGGAGATACTCGGTAAATTTATTGCTCACTCGAGAATTGATCTCGTGTCTTTTCGTATGGGCTAAGAGCCTAACCAGTACACCATAGAGGAACTACCACGCTACATGTAAAAAAAAAGGTAGGCCAACTTGAAAAGAAGGAAAGGTTAAAAAGGGGCATCTTGTTGCGTAGAATTCGCACCTTTACCTTCTCCCATCAACACATCGAGGAATGTGGGCGTTTCAGTGAACTCGGAACCACAACCTTCTATTTCCATCGCAAACTCTGAAGAGATAGAACCCTCTTGTTCCCAAGAGACGAGGGTGCTGAAAAGGTTGCTGCTAGTCTTTTCCCCTAAGCCCTTTACATCTCTGTCTCCGTCATTCCCCTTTGACTTCTCCTCCCGTCTTTTCATGATTCCTCCTCTCCTCCAGCGCGTCGTCGTCGGTGTCAGCAGCCAGCAGAAACACCGGCCCTTCCCTCGACGTGCTCCGCTCGTTTCGTGCAAAGCGGAGCAGGTTGTTAGCAAAACTCCAACAATAGACTCAGCGCCGTAGAGAGAGAAAAGCGGGCAGGAGCAGTTGATTTGAAATGCGAGTATAAAACTGAAATCATCTCATAAAACGACGATTAAATGGAGAGTCGTCCAGGGGCGCTTCCCTCTGAGACGCCGGGGTGGGGTTCTGGGTGAAATGTTTCCACTCTCTGCATGGGGTCCGGGCTTTTATGAGTCATGGGAAGGGATTTCCTTGCCATTAGCGCGAGGTGAGCGCTGCTCTCTTCAAAGTACTGGGAACCTGGAGGATTCGGGGACAATGGAGGATTGACAATGTACAGGTAGATCACAGGCGTCTCAGGGTTGGTGGGGGTACACGTTGGTTACGCTGTTTTGGGTTGTTAAAGAGAAGGAGAGACAGATGGAGGGGTAAGGGGCGGCAGGGGGCGGGAGTGTTATGAGGCATTGGTGAAATAAGGAGCTTACGTGGGTTAAAGTGAAAGGAAAGAGAGAGAGAGAGAGAGAGAGAGAGAGAGAGAGGGGGGGGGTAGGAGGATCAACGTGAAATGATATTAAAGCAGCCTACCCGTCGTGAAAGTTAGGTGTAAGGTGAGAAACAAAGACTGATGAGTTTGCCCGACTTTGTTTGTAAATGTGTCTCTGCATTTCTTTTTTTACCTTAATTTTTTTCTCTTTTTTTGGGGGGGGTGAATATGTGTGAAAGATGGTACGAAAGAGAGAGAGAGGAAGGGAGAGAGAGAGAGAGAGAG